TAGATTGCCTTAGATCTACTTGTTCAAAGGACAACTGTGAACTGNTTGGTGAGAATTAACAGCAGGACACGTAATAATCTATTTTACATGAATAATTATTTTTAATTGTATAATAATTAAAAAATGGCGTCAGCAGTGTGCTTTCTGTGTCAGGCAGACGTAACGAGTGGAACTATGCTGAGTAAAAGGAGAAAAATCCCTGGGCCAGCGTCAGATTTAGCTTCAAATATTTTAGATGAACTCTCTCAGAAATTTTACCATGAAAAAGTGTCCTCTACGTGTCAGGAGAGTGAAGAGACCACATTCATCTGTCACAAATGTAGAAAAAAGGCAGAAGATTTGAAGATGTTAAGGAAGAAGGTGGAAGAAACTGAAACTGAATTGATGAATCTGATTGGCAATGTCCTGGGAGTAGGAGTAAGACATAGTGAGGCTGAGACTCCGCCACCAAAGAAAAGAAAGTCATCTCATGATGTTGAAGTACCACCTAATCTGGAACAAGATGAACTTGTTACTGTAAGTTTATTATTAAATTGAAACTGATACAACTGACATAATAATTTTATATTAGGTTAAAGTTCACTACCCATCTGGTACAAAGTCGTATGATATCGAATCACCCTTTTCGAAAGAGAATGTAAAACGATTGGCACGTAGAAGCTTGAATTCATTTTCATCCTCTGTTGCAACATCGTCACATACCTCAGATTTGATTGTCAATGAAGTGGCTAAATCAGTTGTAAAAGAAACAAAGTCAATTTGTTCAAACAACCATGATTCTATTCTTCGTGACAGTTGTGAAGGTGTTAAGTTTTTTAGCTGGGACACCGTTTATATTGAATTAGCTCGAATGATGCCAACTTTGATGAAACTGCTAAACACAATAATCCAGAGTAAGGATTCAGACAAGAAGGTTATGGTGTGCCTCATCATAAGTATGGTATTGAAATCTAGAGTTAGACAGATGTCACTAGTTCAGAGAGCAATTTCTATTTTGCTATATGGCAATGGGTGTTCAAAAGAGGTATGCTAATATTGTGTTATTCCTATTTATTATCTATTATCTTTATAATAGTGCTTCAATTGCTTGCAACCTTTAATGGTAACTTTATCACACACTGGCACTCTAAAACTTATTGAACGTCTCTCCGAGGGTCATGACATGAATGTTCAGTATTGGTCTGATGAATTACTTAGTAATCTAAAGGTAGAATATAATAATAATTTTAAAAATACATATACAATTTTAATAATAGAAAAAAGATATTACTAATACTAGAGAGCCACCTGAGATTGATTACATGGATTACATGGATTTCATTGACTTTGAAGATGGTGAACTTGAAGAGCATGGAGATGAT